AGGGAAAGACTTTTATTTTGAGAAGAATAATATAGCTGTAAGTGTTTGAGGCGACAAATGGTTAATTCATTCCAACATGATCAAATGAGCAAATTGTTTACTTTCAGTCCCTCACAGGCTGTCCTACAGTCCTGGCTTAATGAAAGATCCCATGGTTGCCAGTGCAGATTCTGTCTTGCAAGACTCCATTTACACAATTCTTGTTAACATCCCAATTCATGGGATTGTTAAAACTAGAAGATGTCCAGTGAATTTTGCTACTTAAACCAATTCAAGACCCTTCCTATATCCTTCCCCTGTTCCTACTTGAATTTGCCCATGGATGTATTTCCTAACCCTGTTTCTCCCCCAAGTATAACATATGAGCCCAATTTTGATGTTTTAACTAAGGTTCTACATAAGGAAAGACATGTGCTGGGCGTAGTGTATTTCCTAATCAACTGCAGCAGACGGAAGTTTTTTGTGATGATGAAGACTTTGTTGTTACTGTTGCTGACAGACTATGTGATCTAGAAGAGTTAAGAAGTGTCCTATAATTTGGTGTTCGTATGCCTTCTAGAATTTGTTCTCAGAAAGATGTCGGCCTCAACCAACTCAAATCTCTTAAATAAATTTGTGTTATCAATTTTTTTAAGGGGCAAATGTGTTGAAATTGCACAAAATCAGAGAATTCTAAACTGCTGGCGGTAGAAAAGAAAGTTGAAAAACTATTAAACTCTTTCCTCCATCTTTCTTCTCTGGAGCATACTTGTTGCGAAGACAAGGGTGTCCTTGACTTCAAAGTACTCAGCTTTGTAATTTTCAGACTGCATATTCATTGGTATTGCAAATTATTGTTACTTTTTTTACATTTGCTTAAAGTATGCTGTGTCTTCATAGAACATTGTATAGCAAATAAATGCCATTCTGCCCCTGAATAATAAGTAATTTAATTTAAGTGTAAGATAAGAAAAGATTGGGAGAGATAACAAGGAATACATAAAATGACATTAAGATTCTTTGGGTGGTACAGGATACAACATATTAGTTCCTTTTTAATACTAAGGTGTTCCAACTTTGCACTTATCTTTGTTAAGCCCCAGTGCACTAAAAGACCTAAACATAACTGCATGTAAAATGATGTATGTGTTAAAATCTTTTCAAATCCAGGGTATAAGAGAAATAAATAGTTATTTCCCCGAAGAGTTCACATGACTGGTGTTGTTTTTTAAATTTGGAAGCAATTGCAGGATACTTGTTTAATGAACTATAGAAAGGGGAGAAGAGCATGAAAAAATAGTCAATTATTAAATCTTACTAGCTGGTGTAATCAATGACTGTAATACGGATATGCTCCAAAGCCTGAGTGCCTTGTTTAAGTTTCATGGTGCAACTACACGGCAATAAATAGTGCTAGAATACTAGAAAATTCATAAAGTCTAATACTGTTGTCAAGCACAGATGAATAGGATCTTTAGTTTCTTGATATTTCCAGTAATAAGTTTATTTGCACCTGCTTTTTAGTGAGGTCTAAAGTTATACGTTTAAAAGTTTTTCAGTATTCATCAGATTTTTCTAACGGGACTTTCCTTGGGCTATTTCCTGACAAAATCATAATATGAATTAAGAATCAGACCTAGACTCATCACAGATCTGGGGTGCTGGGGAGAGTGGGTAGGGGGAAGTGGGCCCAATCTGGGTCAGCAAGGGAGGAGCGGGGTGAGGTGTTTACACTAACATGTAGCCTAGAGTGTAGCCTACACGTTAGTGTAGCACAAGCTGGGTAACATGGACCAGAGATAGTCCTGCCCTGGAGAGACATAACTTTGAGCTGTTTAAAGACTGCTTAAATCTAGTTTCAGACCTGGTGAAAGTTTCTCCACAGAACTACCATAAACAGCCATCCAGCTGGCCACAAATTCAAATCTCTGCATTCAACAAATTTATTTACCACAAGGGGGCCTCAAAGGGGTTAAACAGATTGAAAAAAATAATCATTGAAATAAAAGTACAAGAGGAGATAAATGTTTAAAGGTGGTTAAATTTGTTTTTAAAAGCCATTTTTCTTTTAACAGAATTATAAGCAAATTAAGTCAGGAAATAAACAGGAACGAAGGCAGAATTAGTTTCTTTCCAAAACGGTAAGTAAATATTTTAGTCCTCTTTAATCTGTTCCAACCTTTACAAACTAGGCTTTAGCAACTTATATCCCTGCTGGGATGTTTGCAAGCACACCCTGACAACCCATTCCCACACACACACTCCAATCTCATAACTACATCAGTAAACATGCTCCAAGGTCATACCCAGTTGTTGCTCTCAATCATGTTGGAATTGGAGATGTGAAGGATGGCTGCCAAGAACTACTCTAGAACAACTTCCCCGGGGGCTTCTGGATTTGGAGGATTTGTGTGGGAGTCAACAAAGGAGGGAATATTGGTAACAATGTAGATCAGTGGTGCTCAACCTCCAGCCAGTGAGCCAGATCCAGCCTACAGAGCCATGTCTCTGCAGGGCTCTCCACAGGTACATAAATATGGTGACAGGGTAGCAGAGGCAGAAATAATTTTTGCTTCTCTGCTGCCATATTTCTAGACCTGTAGAGAGCTCCACAGACTAGATAACATGCCCTGGGTGCATTTACACAAGACATTTACTATGCAATTGACTAATTAACTAAGCAGTAAACACCTCAGGGTCTACACATGTTCCATGGAGGAGGGGGAAGGGGACCATGGGGGAACCCCCGCCAGGCCCCATCCTCTGCCTGCTCCCCCAGCCCCTTTGAGTGCCCCCTGGACCCCCACCTGCTTTCCCAGCCCGGTCAATGGCTGCCCTGCCCAGCCCCAGCATCCTGGAGCTTTAAAAAAAAAGAAAGCCCCACAGTCACAGAAGCCTCTGGGGGCCCATGGAAGAGCCCTCACACATAGCACAGGGCAGTGGGGGGCAGTGGGGATTGCCCCTCCACCTGGCAGGAGGCGGTGAGCGCAGGGCTTTTTTTTTTTCTTTCAAGTGCCAGGATGCTGGGGCTGGGTGGGACAGCCTTTGATAGGGCTGGGAGAGCAGGCGGGGGATGGGGCCTGTTTAATTCAGAGATTTGGCCCACTCAATGGCAGCGGAATCTCCAAATCAGATTCGACTGAATCGATTCGGGACTGTGATTTGAATCACCGAATTGAATCACTGCCCCCCACCAAAGCAGCCGAATCTGAAGCAAATACTAGTGGCTTAGCACAGGCCTACGAGCCAGCAGGCACTTGAAGCACTATCGTGCCTCAGCCAGCTGCTCTGCAGCACTTGGAGTCCAATTTGAGCAGCTCTAGGCTGGCAGGCTGACCTGGGTCCCTCGCTAGCCTGGGCTGCTCCAACTGGGCTTTGAGTGATGTGCATAAATAAACTCTAGAGCAATATGCAATATTGCAATATTATTGCAATATCCATAGTGTTTTGATCCTGAGTACATGTTCAAACAGCATGCCTAGAAGCAAAAATCTCCGGAGCAAAAAGCTCCAGAGTTTATTCATGTGCATTAATCACATGTGTAGATGTGTCCCCTGAGCACTAGATCAGATCAGTGTGTGGTTGGATCAATGCACAGCCAGATTTGGGCACACAGGGTTGGGCCACATGCTGAGTTGGTCTGTGGATGCAATCTAGTGATCTGGCCCAACTGTACATGTGTCCCAGCCTTGCATGCCTGGATCCAGTTGTGCACTGGTCTGATCAAGTACAATCTAATGCATAGGGCCCATGGGGCTCCCCAAAGACCAGGGCATCCAGTCCAACAAACCAACTCCATGCCACTCATCTGGCCCCTGGGGCCAGAAGGTTGGACACCATTAGTCGGGCTGGAATATACTACTGTCATGGTGTAGATAAGGGGCTCCAGATATTGGCAAGATTCATACTGTATTTTCGCAAAGGCAATCCAATTTCAATTATTACTACTATTAATATACCAACAGAGGTACGCTTTATAGGCACGCTAATCTAATGTGTAAAATTTCATATTTATAATACTTTATATGATGGTAAATGTACTGAATATAGTATATATTTTGTGTATTTTGTATAGTATATTTTTGTATAATATTTACAATAATGTAAGATTTTTTATATAGGATTTTGCTATGAACTCTGCAAAGGAATGGCTACATTACACCTGTTTACTTTGAAGATTTGAGTGAGATTTGAAAGTGTGATTTTACTTTCAAATAGCTATTCCCATGATTTGAAGCAGTACATTTTTTGTGTTGAACCGAATTATAATTAAAAGCCATCAGAATGTACTTCAGTCTTCCAAAAACAAAACAAAAATACACACTTGACTTAACTTCAGTAAGCAGCCCCCCTGCCCCAATTTTAATGGAGTTACTTCCTAAGTGTGTGGTAGCATTGACGATTTTGAAGGCCAGGGATCAAAAAATAATTAAGTGTTTGAATAAGAATGAGGTCATATAGTGAAAGACAAGCTTAACTTTGAAATACTGAACAATGCCAAAGATTGTATTAAACTTTACTTAATTTTTAAGAAATAATATTTGAAGGAATTTACTTTTTTGTTATCTTGTTACAGTCCTCCAACACAGAAATTTGCTGACCAGATGGGTAAATATGTGCTTGCTCTTATAAATTTATGTTGTTTAAAAAGATAAACTACTTTATTTCATGTTTATACTTTATTTGATAACTGCATGTCTTAACTCAGTAACAAAAATATGCTATCCATTTCAGTTTATTGATCTAAGTTTTCTTATTTACCTTGAATTCAGCTTTACAAAATATAAAAGCTGTAACTCAGCTTGTATAACCAATCCATCCAGGGGCCCCTGGAGCCCCTGGTTCCGGGCTCCACGCAGACGGAGCCCCTGGCTCTCGGCTGTGGGGGCTGCCTGTCCCTTTTTCAGGCTCTGGGGCCTGGGAGCATGGTTACCTCCCCTTGTGGGGTCTGCTCCCTTTTGGGGTTTCTGGCGCGCCAGCTGGAGGAGCTCCAGGCCACAGTCCAGAGACTGCGTGCCATCAGGGACTGTGAGCAGGAGATAGACTCCTACTGCCAGGCCTTTCTCCCCCAGGAGGCGGAGAGTAGACCACAGTCTCCCTCCAGGCCAAAGGAGGACTCCGGGACCTCCCGCTCTGTCCAGCCAGGGGCATGGACCAAGGTGGTCAAGGGCCCTAAGGCCCGCCGCACCAAGGCCCCTGCCCCGCCAGAGCTGAGCAACAGGTACGCACCTCTTGCTGCTCCAGCAGAGCCTACTGAGTTGCCAGCTCCCACAGGCAACATGGGCCCAACTGCAGCTACCACCCCTGCTCTCCCCAAGACAAAACATAAGGTGTTTGTTGTGGGAGACTCCCTCCTGAGGGGGACTGAGGGGGCAATCTGCCGCCCTGACCCCTTAGCCCGGGAAGTCTGCTGCTTCCCAGGGGCCTGCATCTGGGACATTGCGGAGAAGATCCCAAAGCTCCTCCAACCCACAGACCACTATCCCATGCTCCTTATTCATGTGGGCACCAATGACACGGCTTGGAGCGCTCCCAGCCGGGTCATGAGGCACTACAGGGATTTGGGAGCGGGGCTAAAGGGTCTGGGGGCACAGGTGGTGTTCTCGTCGATCCTCCCAGTCTCAGGCTATGGGCTGAGGAGGGAGA